TTTATCCAACCTGAAAAAAATATGACAGGTCAGGTCAAGTCAATTACCCGACCCGACCTGACCCGTTCGGAGCTCTACCTGATCACTTATATTCATCACTATCACCTTTTTAATAAATAAATAATCTGAGTTTTGCAATCAAATAAGGAATGATAAAACTGTATTTCGCATACTGATAAATTATTTTTTTTATTATACTTATTAATTTTTTTGAAGAACCTATGTTATATACTGTATTTCATCATAAAGCCACTATTTAACAGTTTATCAAGAGTCTATCTATCTAATTATTAGTATCTATATACTTTTAAAAACTCTCAAACCTTTCTACTTCACTTCTACTTCTTAACTCCTCTTAATTTTATAGCTTATTTCTTTTACAATAAAACTAAAACTTATTTCACTTGATAACTTATAGCAACATATCGTCATTATGGTAAAGTCGCTTAATTGCTGCACGCTTCTGAACTTTAATGTTTTTTCATTTCTAATTTTCAAAGATTATGATAGAAAATACGTTAATATTAATAAACAAAAAATTTATTTAAAATATTTAACAGTTAGATACCTCAAGGAATTTATCTGTTTTGAAGTTGCTGAAACTGTCAAATGTAAACTGAAACTTTGGAAAATTAATGTTGATAAAGCTGAGATTAAAGATAATAATTAAAGATAGTGTTGCAACATTGTGACGCTTATTATCACCTGTTGCAATTTAAATTTTAATAATGTTGCAATTTGTTACAACATTGTGATACTTATTTGTCACCAGTTGCAACTAATTAAGGTACCATCTTTAATAATAATATTTCTACTGAAGATGACATTGTTCAAAAGCTTAAAAGAAATCTCAAAAACTGTTTAGTGAATATTTTCAAGCTAAGCTAAATAATAAAGTTAAATTTACAGTGAATAACTTTCACATCATTACCATCATCTCCATCATCACTGGTAAGTATCTTCTAATTTTGTACCTCTTGAACAAGAAATATAATGTATTAGATCACAAATTTAATTTTCTTACTCGTACAGGTCTTAAACGATCAATTTTCAATCTCAGTTTTCAAAACGTTAGAACACGTAAACTTGTAAAAACTGAAGGTCCTGTAGATGTCTCAAAAAATTTTTATGTTTCATTTGAGACTCTGGAGTCAACTTATAAACTGAAGGAAGCCATAAATAAAAAAGTGTACGTGTTCCTAATGAGACATTTTCAATTTGAAATATCATTGACTCTACATTATTTGAGTGGTATCAAAAAGTATTATTTTTATATATATTCTTTAATGTTAGCGAATGGATTTCTGCATGGGTTATGCAACCAACTTTCTTTGAATTTATGTAATAATATAAATGAATTCGATCATGAAATCATGACGAAATATCAGGGGAAGCAGATAGTAATCATGATCGATGAATTTGATCGATGAATTTAACCGATTCTTATCTAACCAAAATAATACAATTGATCAGATTAGAGAACTTACCAAATTTGTAAATGATAGGGGAGTAAAAGGAATCAAATCAATTGTTTTTGCAAGCAATTTTTCAATTACTACAATACTTTAAGATGAAAGTTCACATATTAAAAAAGTCATTGAAACATCATCACAGGAGTTGTCATAGGAATTGCCACAGGATAGTATGTTAGTGGGAGTTCCGTTAACATTAAATTCAGCAAAAATTATTGAGGTATCAGATTTTACCAAAGAACAGCACGTGACATTCTTTTATAATATTCAAGAGAATAGAAATCTTCATTTTAATGAAAAGGTTGTTGTGGATGATATTTATAGCTGTACTAATGGTTACGCTAGATTAGAAGATCTGTTTGCATCATTGTGCATTGAATATGCTAGCAATGGGAAAACCCTTGACTTTAGTACATGGAATGATCGCTTCACAGAATTTATTCGTAACCCCACAAAAAAAAAGATTAGTGCAGTTAAATATATTGAAAACTACCTCTCTGATAATACTGATAACTAGGGAAACGGCAACGGCTGTTGTTAAGTCTGGAGCTTAGACATACGCATTCACGTGACAATAGTAAGCAATCATTAAAAAAATTTAAAATATTACTTAAAGTAGAAATGATCTATACAACTACGCTTTAAATAAACAATGCATTAATTATCATTATATATATATGTTATGA